GATTATCTTCTGTGTCTGTGTTAATTGGTTTCCCTTTTCTTTGTTGAAGAGGGTCTGTGCAATCCTTCTGCCTAGTCCGCCATCTTGCCCCGCCTCTATTTTTTTATTTTTTACATTAAAACTTTGGAATTATTTTTTAGCTTATAAGAGAAACACTTGGATAGCCCACACGAACCATGGCTCTTCTTGCCTTAGACCTTAGGCTACTAGCTGGTGCCCGGCTACCACTACTGTCCATCCTGACCAGGGACACAACAGAAGGTCCCAGATAGAAAGGCAAAACAATGTAAAACAAAACGCACATTCCTGAAAACAGCCATACTTGACCAGTAGAGACTAGAGAAACCCCCAAGTCTGTCACCCAAAGATACCCTTTGTACTTGGAAATTAAGCCTCTCCCATTGGTCACTTTTCATCCAGATAATACATTAGCTTATAAAGTAATGTCACTCATGAGGACTGTGCTACCTTAAATAATCAACTATAGTCAACATTTACCCTAAAACAAAGATAAGATGGTTAGGAGGGAAACTAGATTAATGGAAACAGAACAGACAGAGGAGATAAGGAGAATGCTGACACATTGTGAACAAAGTAACCAATGCCACAGAACAATATGTGTTAAGAATTGTTAAAAGGGAATGTAATTTGCTGTGTAAACTTTCACCTAGAACACAATAAATATTAATTAAAAAGAAATACTTGGGGGGAAAAAAACAATAATTACCACCATGAAGTATGTTAGACTTCATTATTTATAGATCTGCCTCATTCTTTTTTATGGCTCTATAGTGTCCCTTTGAATGGTGATACCATTGTTTATTTAAATATTTCTCATCTATAGACATTTGGGGGAGCTCTGGTGACCTAGTGCCTAAGGCATTTGACTGCTAACCAGAAGGCTGGCGGTTCAAACCCACTAGCCACTCCTTGGAAGGAAGGTTGGGAAATCTACTTCTGTAGTGATACCACCTCGGAAACCCAAGGAGGGGTCGCTATGAGTCTGATCTGACTTGACGGTAGTGAGTTTGGTTTTGTTTTTTAGATAGACATTTGGGTCATTTGAAGATTTTTATTATTATAAACACTGTTGAAGTATATTGTCTGCTTTTACCTTTATGAAGTTAATGGGAATGTTTCTGTAGAGTGGCTTCCCAGAAGTGGAATTGCAGGATTAGATAGTGTTGACTATTTATTTAAAATGTGTATCCTTTTTCCTTTCTGCAGACATCTTCAAAAACAAAGTGTAACTTAAGCAAATTGGTTGGTATTGTTTTAAGGGTAAATTAACCAGAAATGGAACTTAACATCCTAATTCTCTGAACTTCATTACCTGTGTGATGTTTTGGGTTTTTTTTCCAACATTAAATTACTGTTTACTAGAGGGACTGACTGACGATCAGGGAAAGGAGACTGTTTGGGAATGGGTTTCACTCTGACCCCAGTACCCTACACTACAGTGTTTAATGTATTGCCATAGGTATGGTAATTTATCATTTAGTTATGCAAGCAAGTTAGTTGAAATAACTTGAAACTAATCATTATCTTGTCTCCTTAGGGAGCAGTACACCAAACAGATTGCTGAACAGGAAAACCTTGGAAAGGTAAGACTCTTATTTATTTATTTTTTAATATGTATTATCCAATCCAGGTTTTCAGTACATGTTCATGACATTGTCATTCTTTTAAAAAGTTATAGTACAGATTTCTAGGGGAAATTGGGTCCCTGTTAATCCCCTTCAAGGATGAAGACGCTCACTTAGGAATTTAGTTTTATAAAAGCGAAGGCACAAATGGATGTGTTTTGTTTTGTTTTGTTTTTAACATTGTATTGTGTTTTAGGTGAAAGTTCACACAGCAAATTAGTTTTCCCTTCAGCAATTCAAACAGATTATTCTGTGATGTTGCCTGCCACCTCCCCAGTGTGTCAGTGCTCTCTGTTTCCACCCTGGCTCCCTGATTCTGTTGGTCCAGATACCTGCCCCTCCTTGTCTTCTTATCTTTGTTTATGGGCAAATACTGCCCTTTGGGTCTCATATAGTTGGGTGTTCTAAGGAGCACATACCTCATGGGTGTAATTGTTTATTTTATATGCCAGACTGTTATTTGGTTGAGAGGTGGCCTCTGGGAGTGGCTTGAGATGCATGTTGGAGGCGTGACTTAGGGCAATAGTCTCAGGGGTTCATGTAGTCTGGTCTTTTTTATGACACTGAGTTTTGTTTTACATTGTTCTTCCGTTCTAACTGCGACCTCATGTTTCCCTGATCAGAACAGTCCATAGTGGTAGCCAGCTACCATCTAGTTCTTCTGGTCTCAGGACGGAGAAGGCTTTGGTTCATGTGGGCTACTACTCCCTTGGACTAATTGGCTTTCTTGAGTCTTTGGTTTTCTTCACTCTCCTTTTCTCCAGACTGGAAGACACCAATAGTTGAATCTTAGATGGCTACTCACAAGCTTTTAAGACCCCAGAAGCTACTCACCAAACCAGAATGTAGAACATTATCTTTATGTACTCTGTTATACCAATTGAACTAGATGTCCCCTGAGACTAGGGTCCTTAGCCTTCAAGCCCAGTAGCTCAGTCTTGCAAGGGTTTTTGGTCATATCTAAGAAGTTTCCATAGCTGTGCCCTTTATGTGCTCCACTGTATGTATAAAGCACATACAAATACATATGTCGACAGATCCACAGTCATACCTCTATATGTACACAGATGTAGTCCTGTATGATGTCCCACACCTGTTTGGCATACGTATCTACTAACATATTGGCTCACAAATTATTGATTGTTACTACTGCTGTCGCAGGATTATTGATGTTATCTATAGTATTTACAATAATTATCATTTATTCTTACATACCTCCCAGTGTTTTCCTCTGCCTTGGTCACATTGTGCCAACATCCCCCATATTGCATATTTTCTTTCACCAGAAGTACCAAATGGCTACTGTCTAATTAGTGATTCTTGAGTGTTTGGTTTTTCCCTCTTCTTCTCATCCCTAGTAACCATCAAAGAATTTGTCTTTCTGTGTGTAAATCTGTTCTTGACTTTTTATAATATATTAAAAATACTTTTTGTAATAGTGATCTCATACAATATTTGCACTTCTGTGATTGACTGATTTCGCTCAGCACAGTGTCCTCCAGATTCATCCAAATTGTGAAATGGGTGGATTTATCATCATTCTTTATCATTGCATAGTAGTCCATTGTATGTATGTACCACAGGTTTTGCTTCTCTATTCGTACATTCATGGATACTTAGGTTGTTTCCATCTTTTTTGCTATTGTGAATAGTGCTGTGATGAACATGGATGTACATATGCCTATTCGTGTCACAACTCTTATTCACTAGGATATACACCTAGGAGTAGGATTGCCGGATCATGTGGTATTTCTATTTCTAGCTTTTTAAGGAAGCAGAGCTGTGGTGGCATAGTACCTAAGGCATTTGACTGCTAATCAGAAGGCTGGCAGTTCGAACCCACCAGCCACTCCTTGGAAGGAAGGTTGGGCAATCCACTTCCGTAGTGATGCCACCTCGGAAACCCAACGAGGGGTCGCTGTGAGTTGAATCGACTAGACGGCAGTGAGTTTTGTTTTTCATACTGGTTTCCATAATGGTTGTCCACTTATAGTCCCACCAGCAGTGTATGAGTTCCAGTCTCCCCACAACCTCGCCAGCATTTCTTGTACGCTACTTTTTTTTTTTTTTAACAGTGCTATTATTGCCAGGATGAGATGGTATCTTATTGTAGTTTTGACTTGCATCTGTCTAATGGCTAATGAAGAGAAGAGCCTTGATGGTACAGTGGTTAAAGCACTCAGCTCCTAACTGAAAGCTTGGCAGTTTGAACCCACCAGTGATTCCATGGCAGAAAGAGGTGGCAGTCTGCTTCCATAAAGATTACATCTTTGGAAACCCTGTGGGGCAGTTCTGCTCTGTCCTGTAGGATCACTGTGGGTGGGAATCAACTCAGTGGCAGTGGGCTTGGATTGTTAATGGGTGACAATCATGAGCATCTTTTCATGTTTGTTAGCCACCTGAGTGTCCTCTTTGGTGAAGTGCTGTTCATTATCTTTTGTCCAGTTTTTAGTTGCTTTGTCTTTTTTGTTGTTGACTTGCTGGCAGCATCTAGGAATTAGACCCTTGTCAGGTATGTCGTTGCCAAAAAAACGTTTTCCCAGTCTGGAGGCTCTCTTTTTACTCTTTCAGTGCAGTCTTTTGATTTTAGTTATCTAGTTTATTTTCTGCTATTGGGCACAAATCAATTTTGGGGGGGAAAAAAAAGGAAAATGAGCTATTTATGCAGAAAGTTAATGATGAAGTTCTTAATAACAAGTAAAAATGCCGCGTATTGTGCCCTGGCATTTTTTAGATTATTCTCAGTTCTATGAGGCAAGTATTCATTTGCTCCTTTATTATATTTAATAGGCCCAGAGCTCTTACTCTGAGCCAGGCACTGCACTGAGCTCTTCACAGGCACTGACTCCTGTAAACAGGTCACTGACCAGCTCTGCCTGATGTGTGCAGCTCCTACCCCGCCCATGTTGTATGAGGGCTGCTGGGGGAGGGTGGGTTCGGACCCTTCTCCTTTAGTTAGCAGCTGAGCGCTTAACCACTGCACCACCAGGACACCTTCCTACCCACTACCTTCCCCAAAAACTATTTTGAAGGAAATCTGAAACATCTTATCATTTTATCTGATATAATTCAGTATGTATCATAGATTCCTTTTAAACATAGTGACAAAACCATTATCATACCTACAATAATTTAGCAATAGTTGCATGATATTCAATATCCAGTCAGTATTCAGATTGTGCCAATTGCCTCATGATTTTTTAGTAATTTATTTCTTTGAATCAGGATCCTAATAAGAGTTTATACATTTCCATTAGTTGATACATCTCTGACATCTCTTTTTTCTCTAGATTACCCCTCCATCTCTTCTTTTCCTTTACAATTTGTTGGGAAAAACATAACAAATGTGGTCATCTGTCCTGTCAGTTTTCCTGCATTCTGAACGTTGCTGAGGGTATCTCCATGGCATCAATTAGCATGTTCCTCTGTTCCCAAGATGTCCTGCGTATTGGCACATAGATCTAAAGGCTTGGTTAGATGTGGCCTGATTTTGGCAAAAATACTTCATAAGCAGTGGTGTATGCTTCTGTCGGAGGCTCTCTGTCTATGATGTGGGCAAGTAATACTCTAATTGGGTCATTTTTTCTTCATTTATTGGCTGGAATAATTGGTAAAGAGCAGCTTCTCCCTCTCAACTATTTAGTCATCCTGAAGAACACATCTCAGAAAGGCAGGATTAGTGCTTGATTCTCCTACTCACTGGTTCTCAAAATCCTGAGGTGGTTCCTATCATCCTTCCAAAGTACCTGTGTGCCTTCTGGATTAAAGAAATGAACTGTACTTCATCTGTTACAGTATCATTCCTGTCAGTGCTCAAATCGGCCTGTTTGGCCCATGGATGCCTCTTCTAGTCAGCTCCTGAATCCTTTTCAAAGAGCCATAATAGCCCTGGTGGCTTCCTTATGTTCTGGAATAACAAGATGTTCCAGGCTCATCCTGTACATTTCCTGCCCAAACCTGGAATCAGTCATTGCTCCGAGAAGTGTGCATCTGCTCTTTCTGTATAACTTGTGAATAAACATGCATCATAAACTTGCAGAGAAAGAGAGAAACCTTCTAAAGGCTGGTTCCTCCATTTATTTGAGAAATTGTGAGTCCTGTCTGCTTTATTCAGTGCACGGGGTGACGGCACACAAAGAATTTGCATGTGTAAGAGCTTGCATGTGAATTAAGTTGTGAACATTCAGGTGTGTAGTATTGTAACTGTAGACTTTCAGGCTTTTAGGACTTCGTATGGCTGTCAGGAACCGACGTTCATCTGAAGGTTTCATAAGTAATGGACTTTTTTCATGAGAGAAGTATTTCTCTCTTTTGTTTTAAAAAATATTCTAGATGGATGCTGTGTGCAGAAATACTTATTTGATGGAATCTTTTCAGAAAACCTGAAATCAGTTGCTAAATCTGATTAAAGATAACTCTGTCTTCCTCTTTTCCTTCTGGTGAAAGTTTTAATGCAAGGTCTTTGGGAGAGGTGGTAGCAGTAGTTAGCATCAAGTGTATTTCAGCAAAACGAGGAGTGACTGGCTCATTCTCCAGTTGTCAGGCTGGGTCACATAAGAAACAAAGTTTCACACAGAACAACCAGAGCAGAAACAATGAGACTGTTGTGCATTGTGAAGAATGTGACCAATATCACTGAACAGCCTGTGTGGAAATTGGTGAATGAGAACCTAAACTGCTGTGTAAACCGTCGCCAAAAATACAATAAAATATTTAAAAAGAAAGAAAGAAAATTCCTCAGTCCTCTCACTTCCCCAGAAGTTGATGTACATTTTTAAGGCAAACCCAGCACACACCTATCCTTTCATAGGCCCTCCACGCCACCAAAAGACCAGACATCTCGAGACCTCCTCAGACTGGCTGAGTCTCTGAGTTAGATCAGCCTGTGGCACTGCGTTCACCACTATGACCAGAACTTCTATTTACCAACTACTGCAGAATATTGTACTGAAAGGTACAACTCTTCCTCCCCTTACTATACTCACCTCTTCCTTCAAAGAATAGTGAAGTCTGTCATCACTATTTTTTTTATACATTGCAACTGTAATAAAATAAAATCTGTCTTAAGTGACAATAACAAGATTATAAATGAAGTATATACTGTATAACAAGTCAGTTGCATTCATAAAATTAAATGTTTTCAAGCACACATGAGTATGAAACAAATTAGATTTAATATTTCTGACACAGGCAGGGTCCCCATCCTGTCTTTGATTCTTTAAATAACTTTTATGGGTTGTTAGAAATTTTGACAAGGAAATTATTCCAATAATACAAAAGTTATAGTTTAAGAAGTTCCTTAATCTTAATTCATGTTCATAACTCGTAAAATTCTTGGTCTGACTTAATGACCTCACTAAATATTTTTATTTTAGGTTACAAGGATAAAATTGTTTGCTCTAAGCTACTTTATTTGTAACATATATTTAAATAGATGAATTTAACATGCTAGTATTTCATCTGATACTGGCTGGTCTTAAATTTTTTTTTGTCTTTTGTGGGCTGTTCACTGTGCTTCCATTACTCACAACTGGGCTGGGCACTCTGTACTGAGTGGCTGAAGAAGGTCCTAGGCTTACTTTACCCTCTTATTTGGGTAAAAACCAACTCGTTACCTTCTCATTTGGCCCCTTAGGCTGTTAGGTCTGCCACGTGCTGAGAGATGAACAGATGAGGATGTTGCTGCCTGCTCAGCTTCTCTGTCTTTGCTTGTTTGTTTGTCCCTCCTGGTGACTCTCTCAGACTGTGCCAGTCTCCGAATTTCTGCCTCGCACTGTGTTCCTGTGCACGCGCTGCTGTGTGCCATTGCACTTGTCCTTGGTGTCTTTCTCTCTTTCTAATTGTGTTTGTTGTGGTCCCTGATTTGTGCCTACCCCTCATTTCAGTCATACATCCTCAGTTGGCCACAATATGGAATCAGAGTATACTTTTGTATGTTTATTGAAATTTTTTCTTACTCCTTTTTATAATTTTAGAGTCAGTAAATAGAAAGTTTTAATAGGCAGAACCACATAGCCTGTTGATAACAAAACCAATTTTGGTAAAGATGTGGGCCCACTTAATAGTGGGCTTTTTTTTTTTTTTAATCACTAGGTCTTCTCTCCATGAAATCTATTCATACAATTTCATTTATTTGGGCATACATAAAACATACCCTGTTTCAGGATACAATACAGTATTTAATAATAGCACATACAAACTCAACAATTTATCAAGTATTTTGATATGTCATGAAAAATATCTTATGAAGCAGATGTTATTTTCTCCTATTGTTATCCTTACTTGACAGTTGAGAAAACAGAGGTCTAGAGAAATTAAATGTCTAACGTAAGGTCATACAAATAGTGACAAAACCAAGATTGAAACTCAAGTCCTTGGGCTTCCAAAATCTGCTTTTTTCTATATCAGGACACTGCTCCACTTTCTTGACTTCGTTTATTTTTCCTTCCTTCCTTTTTCATCTTTGTAATCTTTTTAACTTCAGGTTGTACTACGGTCATAAATTTAATTGACTTTTATAATCTTACTTTTGATATCTCATAAGATAACCTGGTTTAGTTAACTCAACTAAATAAACTTTCATCAAAGGTACAAACCAGGCCATATTCCTCTCACCATAGCAAAAGAAGTAAATCCCTGTAACTGAGATTTAATTATTCTTGTTTGTTTGTTTGTTTAAATGACAGAAACTCCGAGAAAAACAAAAAACTGTACGAGAAAGTCATGGTCCAAATATGAAACAAGCAAAAATGTGGCGTGATTTTGAACAGTTGATGGAATGTAAGAAACAATGCTTTGTGAAACAGCAAAACCAAACTTCCATTGGTCAGGTAATTCAGGAGGGAGGTGAGGACCGGCTGATACTCTGAGTTCTCTGTCACTCTTGGGGGTTTTAATTGACAGGCTAGTGATCAGCACAATCTCATGATGCGTTTCTTGTCTTGAAGGTGGTTGGTAGCACACTGTGCTTTCAGATTAGCCATCCCCTATTAAGTTTTCTTGGAACATAATGTTAAGGTAGATTTAAATTTTGAAAAGTTTTAGCTATAAATGCAGCTTTATTGCTTTGCTTAATTTAGATGTCAGTGGTGTCTTCCGAGTTTTATGAGACAGGAAGCTAAGTTTATTATCTATAAATGTAAACATATGTCTGTTAAGAAACATGTAGGTTTTTAAAACAGTAATAACACAGTGGCTTAATGTTTTTCTTAAATCTTTTTTTAACTTTAGAGGACTCTTTTAGGAACTAATATCTCTTGTTTTGAAGAAACATTTATCTGAAGTTCAGCAATTCCTACAGTTTCACCTCAGTTCTTTTCCTTCTGTTAAAGCCAAGAAAATTTAATATTTTAAATAATATATGTGTTCTTTTTATGTAATTAAATGGCAAATAAAACTTAGTGCATATGTGATGGCTATTTTTTTTTTAACTATATAGCTGACATGTCAAAAATTAAAAGTAAGTATTCACAGTATAGTATTGTATTAAATTTAAGTATTGTTACTTAGTTTCACCAAAAATATAGTATTAGTATTCAGGTCTTGGGACAGTTATTTGAAGTATTAAAAAAATT